AAAAAATTAAGTGCACTTCTTTCTGGTTGGCTGAGTCCTGGCGAGGCCGGCCCAGAGGGCAGTTCCCCCCCCCCCCCTCGCTCGGTTTCACGCTGCAGGCCCCGGCTCGCTACTTGTTTTTGGCCGTGGGCCACAGTTCCCCTTTTGGACCCGCGCCAGATAGAGGCTTCTCATTCCACCGGCTCCTCGCAGCACAGCCAAGAAAACCAGACAGAAAACGGTCAGGATATGAGCCAACGAAACCCCAATTCACAGGCATCCCCCCCCCTTTTTTTCCATTCTGGTTGTTTTGCTCACAAAAAATCATTCAGTAATAACTGTCATTCAGTTCAGTTCCATGGGATGTTTTTACTCATAGAACAAAGAAAAGATCTATTTCCATCTATGATTTTTTTTATAAGATGGCAATATCTACATAGGTAAGTGGTTTAGGGGTAAAGGAGGGCAAAGGTAATAGGAATCACTAAATGGGTGCTCAGGGGGACTTTCAGAAGTCCTTACCTCAGTCACTGTTCATGTCCCAAAGTGATAAATATGGTTCAGCCTCTGATGTTGAGGATAGAATGTTGGTTTCTGACATACTGAGATTTTTGTCTTTGATTAACCGTTTAATTTTTGGAAATTCTGTTTTATTTTCCCACTAAGGTCACTTTAAACCTGGAGCTCATTGTCTCATTGAAGTTGGTTCAAATTAATTTGAATTTTATCACAATTTTTTTTGTTCAAGGCATTTTTCTTAGTTTCTAAACCACTGGTGCTACCCATTGGCTTTACTTCCCGTAGGGACATTGAAATGCATCAAGTTATTGACCCGCCATCATTATGGGTCAATTAGACATTGTGTTGAACCCAAATCCAACCAAAGCTTTCGGAATTATTCCACAACCACCGCTCCTGCCTCCTAATGCAGACGATTTGGCTCATTTCTATCACGATTTTTCATCCCGGGGACTAGGAAGTAATGAGTGAACTTTTATGTATCTCGCATCAATCTGAAATATTCCAAAGGCTATAAAAATGCCAGTGATGACAAAAACAAGCTAAGAATCGTATTGGATTGTACGGCTGGACATATTATTGATTACGTTTTTTTAAATCACAAAAGATGTCGAAATGATGTTGCCCTCTGCAACGTCTTCAAGAACCAAGAATATAAGAAAAAATCCTACTCCCCTTCCACTTGAGCTTATTAGGGATGCATACAATGGACTCTGCCATGGTTTGGTGTACTAGCTAATTAAGATTTATGGTAAGAAAAAAAAAAAAAAGACTTACACAGCAGGTAACGGGCAGGTAGACACTCTCATTAGTTTGCAGCAGAGGCCAGATGCCACAGAAGTTAACCAAGCGCCCCGGCTGCATCGGGGGGGACTCTATCTGAGGCTGTCCACTCACACAGGACAGCGCCAGCCTGCATTAAGGGCCGCATTAAACTTTAACAATGGCATGTTATTGCCATTTATGCGAGCAGACACTCTATAATTGAGTTACAAGTGAGCAGGGAGTAGAAACATGCCTGGTTTATAAATCACATTGGCACATTCAAAATGAATCTTTACTCCTGTGTCGGTTTCATAATGGAAAGCAGACAGCGGTGATGGTGTGAGTGGGGCTGGTATAAAATCTGGAGTGTTTGCGTCGGTATACTGTTTACACGGAATATCTTGGAGCATGACAATGCCGCGACAGAGATGTGTTTCCAGCACTAAACGGGATTAGTGTGACAGTGAGAGGGTGACGGCAGCGTGATGAGAGCAGCCCCTAAGTGAGTCTTTCATTTGTATGCCGCTGCATGGCTGAGAGGCGTGTTGTTAAAAGATAAGGACTGGCCTCTGAGGCCGCTGAGAGCTAACAGAGCTCTGGCAGCGCATGTTAGGACAGCAGTATCACAGGCGCTGCGCGGTGCTCTACAACACCACGGTAACAGATAGGAGGCCACTGACACCAGCAGCCGCGGACGGGCTCCCCGGAGCCGCCGCTAAACCCAAACCAGTTCAACCACTCACCGTCCCCACATCATAAACTCCACATTACCACGCGCACGTACACGAGGTTCAAATTGAGCAAATGAAAAGAAGAGGGAAAGCTTTGCTCTTCGCAGATGACTCAATCATGACACCATCTGCTCAGAGAGAAATGTCCCACCTCTAAACAGCTGCGAGATGCAGTACCTTTTAGATTCTTGGGGATAAAAGCAATATAAAGCCCCGTGATGTGGCGCCACCGAGAACAAATAATCCGCCGGTCGGCCATCAATCTTGATCTGAGTTTTATCAAAGCAGCTACATGTCATTTATTCGTCTCTTCCCGCCAGCATATCTCAGAAAGCTGAACAGGCAGGAATTTGCTGAAGCTTTTTCTGCTGCAGGGGTTGAAATAATACGCCATCGCGCAGCGGATGCCAAAGCGTTGGCCCCATGCATCAAGATGAAGTATCACTTCCCTCCGATAGGCGTGACAAATGTCTTTCCTCTTGTTATTCTAACACCTCTGGTTTTGATCTGTGCCGAGTTTCGAGTAAAGCCTACTCGTGTCTGCCAAGTCTTATCTGCGGCATCCATGTCATTAATAAATTAGCCCAGCAGGAGCACATCTGCACGGTGAAACGCATCAATCACGGCCGCGTTTGTCCCGGCGTGCCGATCCCCGAGGCCCCGGGGCCCCGGCAAGATAAACCCGCTCACAGTCGCACCTGTGAAGAGTTCCAAATCACCAATAAGTCAGATCAGTTTGTTTTTGGGGGAGATGGAGAAAGCACCCCAACACCAAAGCCCCCCCTGGCACCGAGCCTCCGGTGTCACCCTTTGCTCTTATTTCATCGTTCAAGGACTTCCATAAGTATTTGGGCCGGCCTCTTTAGGGGCCGTTACTGTTCAGTCACCACATCCCAAACCTCCAAACTTTAGCTGCAAGGATTAGATGCCAGTTTGATACAACGGAGTCATAAATACTCCAGGACTGTTTCAGCTATGGTCCAAAATGTTGAACTATTTCTTTCTCAGGACCTGCTCTGGGCAGCTGATTCCAACTTGTGTGGTAGACCTATTGAGTCCTTTTTTTTAGGGGCTTCGGGGTGGAATTTATTTTGACCAATAAAACTAACAAATAAGTGTTTACTGCTACGTTTAAACAGTTTCATTTAAGGGATAAGTATTAAAAGCCAAGTCATAAAGTTAGAAAGTAGACAGCAGAACTCTACCACTGGGTATTAAAATGCAGCGCAGAACAGTAATGACCCATTTTCCTCAACACAAACAGGTTTAGTAGTCAGGCTTGGTTTGTTTTGGTTGGGGAAATGCACCCTCATTTGTGGCAGCATATATATAATGCATAGAACCTATCGCATTAGTCTCCCTCGACCAGAGACGAGCATCGCACTTTTTCTTAGCGACGTATTGACTTGGTAGATCTGCCGCCCGAACAAAATGTTTGAGCGTTGGACCGGCTCCGAAGTGGCATCAGAAGGGCTCTAAAAATATAAGTCTGTATTCATCGCTCTTTACAAGTCTTTTTTTCCTTTTTAGTTCAAACTGGAGGCGCCGTATGAAATTCACTGGATCATTGATCTCATATCGAAGCTCAAAGTCCTGAGAATTATACTCAAGATAATGCACCCAAAGATCATCAGAGAGCACGTTTTGGCTGACTATTTTTTTTCAATTTAAACGATTCAAAGGAAGAAATCAAGAGAACTAATAACAGAGAACCATTAAAATGTCTCTTTAGTAAAGACATTTGAAATTATCCAACCATTCTTTTGCTTCAGTCTCTTTTCTTTTATACAGCCAGCTGGAAGCATCAGTTTCATTCCAGCGTCTGAAATATTTTCCTCCTCCTTCCAGTCCATTTAGACCAAGCTGTCTTCAAGGTGCAATAAACTAGACGGGAGGAATCAATTAACAATGTTTGGATCTAAGGTGGAAGAGGACGCGCAGAGAAGTGCTTGAGGGGGATGATGGATTCTTGCCACAGCAGTCAGCAAAGGACTCCCAATCCTCAGAGGGGATTAACGTATCTGGGGGATTTAATACAAACAACAGCAGCCGAGTGCACTGCAAACGTTTTGGTTTTCTAACTCTGAGGTATGAAGTTATTTTGTGAGGAAGAAAAGAAAAAAAAAGAAAAAGACCTGCCTCTGAGAAGGTGATCTTATTTCAGTTTGTAAATCCCCTCATAGCTCTTTCCGTGTTGAAAATGCTCTAACTGTGCGCAAAGAAACAAAACCAAAACAGAATGACATCATGTTTAATTCTCCTCCAATGGGATTAGCAGCAGGTAAAGCAGACATCTTAGTGTTCCTAATGAATGACGTGAAATGAGATTTGGCTGCGATCATGGTAACCATTTAAGACAGATGCGGGCAGCCAAGACTGGATCAAGGCATAATAACATTTCAGTGATTTTGTTTGCTGACAATTGGATTCAGAATAATTTAATGCCGATGCAAACAGAAGCTTTGGGAAGGCTGGAGTATTTTAAAAACCAGACGACTTTCGGGCGGGGGCCCAGTGAGTCGGCTGGTGTGCGGCGGGGCTTTGGCTGCTTTTATCTGTGGGAGACGGGAGCGGATGAGGGGGGAGAAGACGCCTGGAGCCCAACACCCGCGCCGGCCTGTAGCGGTGGGGCGCGGGGGGGGGGCAGAGGCAGACGCAAACGGAGGCGCCCCGTTTCAGAATGAAGCATCTTTGTCATTTCACTGATGAAGACAAGAGCCTATTTGTCAGCGAGGGGCGTGGTGATGTATTTGTACCGTACAGAGAGACTCATTCGGCTGCTAATTTGCGGCGATACGCCGAGATTTATCTTGTGGCAGATGTTGGGGGGTGGGGGTTAAAATTCCGTACTACAAGCAGACACACAGGCGCAGGTGTGTGAGGATGCGGTTTACAACTGTGACAATGATGGGAAACAGCTGGTCCAGGAGTCGTTCTCTATGACCTCCACGCATTCATACCGAAACCCCTGAATAAAGCTGTCAGATACGGTTAGCTGTGGGCTGCCGGGGTAATTCTCCTCCCCTCTCCCCTCCATCCGCTAAATATTCGCTGTTGATTCCGCCGTCTCCGGGGCACTCGCCTTGACAGTGCAGCAGGAGACTTTCTTGGCAAATGCACAAAGGCTCTGACTCTGAGGGTAATTTATTCGTCTCTGGCAGCTGTTGATATTACAGACGGGCTCGTGTTAGAATATGCAGGTGAGCCTTGGAACGTGCCTTCTTTGTTTCAAGATTGTATGTGTCAAAACCAATCGGATATATAAATAAACAACAAATTAGCTCAATAACAAAGAACAATTGAGTGAAACACATAATTCAGCTAATACTGCCATATATTTAAACGTTTTTTTAAAAGGGACAGTGCACCAAATAACTAATAACTCTTTTAATAAGAATGAAAACATTAATGGTTGCAAACTAAGGTTTTTGGGAAAATATCTGAAGTTTGGCTGAGGGGAACCTTTTAAACAGCAAATACTAGTCTGTAATCCAAATGATAATGCCACAATTCATTTTTGATGAGGTCAGAAGGACCCCCAGCACAACTCTGCTTCCTCTATGAAGTCCACTGATTAAATAGTTGTCTTCAGGCAGAGGTTGCCTCAGGTCTGTTGACATAAACCCCAAAACAGAAGGTCAATCCTGTCTATAGCAGCCCAACAGAATGACTCAGTAACAGCTCTTCGTTCTCCTTATCCTCGTTATTATTTATAAAACAGGCATTTCGTTTCCATTGGGGGATTGATGAAGTATCATTGGTTTACATCCCTTAGTCACAGTCTTTCAATCTGGTCTTTCTGCTGTAAAAGAGGCTTCGGTTTCAGAGTGATTCTGTCGATTTGATCCAAAGCTAACCTGATACGTTGCTATAAATACACTTACGTATTCGCCGTACGTGTCCTGGACGATGGGGGGGGCCGGCCTGTAGCCGGCGGCCGGCGGGGCGCCTCGGGCTCTCTGGACCCCTCTTCCTCTGGAGGTGGGGGCCCTGCTGGGCGGGGCTCCTCTGGGGGCCGCCCCCCTCGGCACCGCTGCGTGCAGGGGGGGCACTCCGCCCCGACTCCTTAAAAAAGACACAGAAAACATCCGTTGTTTGATTGAAAGAGCTAAAGAAAATTGAAAAAATCATAAAGTTCTGGAGGAGGAAAAACATATGCGAGCATCTTTGAGAAAAACAGGATTCTGGGTTAATGTTACCGTCTCCTCGATACTTTATTTCACAACGACATGCTTCAATTCCTCCTCTTCCACCACCCCAGATACAGACTTCCTATACTGGCCAAAATAAATTGACAACGGGAGCGCTGAACATGATCCGTGCAGCAGGCGGGTTAGAGGAGTGGGTGGAGAGAGGAACAGCGCAGGCGGAGGGCTCGTTCTTCTATTCGAGGTAAAGTGAGTCATGTTCATTACTCAAAACATACCAAGTCTTGTGGCTGAAAAGCTTTCTGCTCTGATATACAAAAAAATGCAGATGGAATAAAAAAAAAGACACTGCAATTTAGGCTTGTTTTATAACTAATGCTTCCATTGCATCGCCTTGTTTTGCAGTTCCAATAAAACCGCTTTTTTAAGCTAATTTAAAACTAAAGCAAAGAGGTATGTCAATAATGGGGCTCCGCACAAATTTTCTTTTTAAAAAGGCAGGCAAATTAAAGCTGCTTTTTCTGGAAATCAAAGCCTGTCTGACCTTGTGGCTTGGAAGCTTTTTATTTATTCATTTATAGTCCCACCAACTGAGCTTTCTTTAAGAGAGATCCAACCGATCTGAGGCAGCACACCCTTTGCTCTCCATGTTTTTCTATCTCCGTTGATTTCCATGTGTCTGCGGTGATACCATTCTTTTCTGAGGCAGGAAAGGGAAGAAAGAGAGACATGAAAATCCTCAAATCCTCCGACTAGGGCAGTGGGGGGGATGCGAGAGAAACGGGGAAGGGGAAAAAAAAAGTAGTCCTGACAGTTAATTCATCTTTATGAGTTGCTCACTTTTAGCAGCGGCTGAAGTCAAAGGAAATGAGAGGCGGGGGGGTGAGGCGTCTGAGTTTGGGGCGCTGGTACTGATCAAAATCATGCAGATGTGAGGGCGAGTGAACCTCCTCTGCAGGAGGCTGAGCGACCTCTGTCTCCCAGCACTCAAACAAACGCACAGCAAATCCGTATCACGCCATCGCTCCTATTCTCACTCAGAGCCAACCGCGTTTGACTCAAAGTCTGATGAAAGGAATCTTTTTTTTCCTCGAGAAACAAAAGAGCAAACAGCACAAATCTTTTTTTTTTCTTTCTCTTTTAAGGCATCTCGACGGCTCCGGGAGAACAGAAGTCTTCTCATAGCCACGAGTATTTTTATTTTTAGTCTCACCAGGTCTTGGAGGAGTAGGAATTAATGTGGGGCTAACGGAGATTGGATTCATCGTCTGCGTACAAAAGGCTTTTTCCACAAGTGCAGCATTGCTCTCAGAAACATCACCAGACACTTTATCATTGACACCGGGCAACGTTTTTAACTATTTAGGTAACTCTTCACCCTGCTCCTCTCAACCAATGCTCCCTCTGTCAGCTTTGCACAAACTCCTGCACCCAGCAGGATCCAAAGATCCAAAGACCAGTTCTAGAGTAGACCGGACACAAAGGACACATTTTGTGGATTGTGGCTACGAAAGTTTTACCGAGGTTTCCCTCCCATGGAATGACTGTCTAGTGTACAGGAGAAGGGGATTGGGAATTAAATGGGTCGCCATGGAGAAATGGCTGCATCACGCTGAGGTTCCAAAGAGGCCACCTGGGACCGGAAAACAAGGACAGGGATTCCATGCCTCCGATGATCAAATCCCATAATCGGCTTTGATTCAAGTTGTTTTTCCACTCAATGTAGATGATGTAGGTTTATAAGGTCTAATTTCATTACTCGAACACGTTACATTTTTGTTATGTTAACCAAATGGCACTTAAATGTGCTGAGCAGATCCCTTCACACACGTACCCACGCGGCACATCTCAGTCTTCACAAGCTCCACGGTCCTATTTGTTCTGTTTTTTCGTCCATTCTCACACACAAACCACGTCTTCGGTGCAGCATGGCGTGCTCTTGGACGTGTGGGAGGCTGGAAGTCAAACCGCTGACCTTCCGATTGGCAGCCGCCCCTGCTTCCTGAACCAAATACAGGCTTAGAGCAGGTCACACGGGGTAGGAGTGTGGTGCTACAGGGAAACAGCCTCCACAAACAGTCCCATTTACCCCACTCTGATCAGTTTTTATTATTGTACGGCTCCGGGTGGGTCTGGATAAAAATCATTAAAGGTTGCTTAAGTTTAATCCTAATATCTACTGCATCCGGCTATCTGCATGAAAGGTCATGTGATCAATAGGAGTCAACAGTGTGCATCTCCTGTTGGTCATTGGCGTCTGTAGCAGTACATGCATCAATCAATCTCATTGATGAGGAGGTATTTTGTGCCTGAAGCATTTGGCAGACTGTAAACCCCACACCGCGGTGATATGTGGAAAGGAGCGACCTGTGGGCTGGGAATCTAGGGACGGGGATTGGGGGGGTGGGAGGGGACTCTGGACTGACCCGGCACACACACCTTCTTATTCCAGCAGTTAGGGCTTGTGGTCTTCCAACTAAAAAGCGAGGGGCCAGAGGATAGCCACAGGGGAAACATTAAGAGGTGGAGCAACGGCGTGCATCTGCCGCCTGTCCAACGTGAAGGCGTAAGAGGGTGATGAAAGGAAGCTCACACACAGCCAAGCAGGAGAGATCATCTCAGTGATATTTCCACAGGCAAGCTAACCTATAGCCTTTACTTTAAGTAACACACTAGTTGTAGAGTTTGCTCGAGGGTTGTTGTACTCATGCTGCTGTATATTTATGAAGCAAAGCCATTTCATTCCATTTGGTTATTTCTATCTGGTATTTTGGTTATTTCTTTCTGGTATTTTGCTTATTTCTATTTCCACTTCTTTTTCAGGTTGTTATAGTGAATTCTCATTTATGTCTTCTAGCTAGAACTTTACTTCGTAATTATGGCGGGACTTAAGCTTTTCAGCATAGCGCAGGTTTGTTTTTTCTTTTGTTCTTTCTTAGAATTACACGGGACATGGAGTTGAAACCGTGGGAGGGCAGTGTGTTGAGTCACATGTTGATGTACAACAGTACAGCGCAGAACGGTTATTTATTTGTACGAATTTAAAAAGCGGTCTTATGACAATTTATTTTTATTCGGTGACAAAAAAAGCATGGGAAGATGAGGGTTGGAGAAAAGCTGAGTCCATGTTTGAAAACAAAAAAAAAAGTATCTTCCCGTACACTACCATGAAGGATGGGCCACAAATTGCACAACACTTCAAAGGATTGAAATCCAATCCATCCATTCAATAACATCTTTCCTCTCCTGCGGCCATATTAGAGCTGTATTAAGTTACAGCTTGAGAAATCAAATATATTCTGCTGAAACATGGTTTACATTAAAAAATAGCCAAGACCGTGTAAGCGCTTCGTTCCCCAGGTTAAAGCTCACCAACTGCCTCCAGAAAAGCAGAAGTCATTCTGCTGCTTTTTCTGGAGGACTAATCTGATCTAAAGACTTCAGGAAGTAATGAAGAGATGTCCAAGTCCTCAGCAAAACCACCAGCGCTGCTGCCGGGTGCTCTGGTTTGGAACCACATTTGTTCTGTGAATCCCCCGTGTGATGTGTCATCACTCAGACCTGTCGGGATCATAACACAGGAACTCTATCGACAGAATCTTTATTAGTCTGGGTACGCTCTTCTGGCAGTGATTCCAACAGACACAAGTCCCCCGTAGGTACCTTTCCTGACCATGAAGGCTCTCAACAAATATTTGCTTTGTCAGATGTTTGGTGCCTGCAGTTTTCAGACATTACAGATGGAACGAAATGTTGAGAAATGTGACCGCTGGAATTAGATAAATGGCGGTGAAACTGGTGATAGGAAATAATTTCACTGGATAGTAAACTCCTTTTACATAATGAAGTACACTAAGAAGTGATAAGTGAATGAAAAGCCCACCCAGGTGAAGCAATCCTGACAACTTTTTCTCACTCAACGCACATTAGAACATGGAGTTTTCCTTCGGTATGTAATTCAACGTTGGATCGGACTGCAATCGAAAGAGTTTTATAAGAGCGCAAAAACAGGATACACTGATCCTCCTGCAAGCCATACAAATGAACAACTGGAAGTACTGGCAGCTTCTTAAACTACCCTAAAAATAAATCTTGTTCTCGCCACATTCTACCTCGTGCCACCACCATGCTAAACAGTGGGTGTCGTCACTAAAGGAGGACAGCCTTCCATCACAGGAATGGCTCCAGAGGGAGTTCACAAACTTGTCCACGCTGTTTGTTGGTTTTTTTCTACTTTTCAATAATCTTTTTATGTTTTTTGGCAACATTCATTAGGCATTTCCTGGCTTTAATGGGTCATAAAAACAAAGCTACTCTCTCTTTTCACTGCAAACACACCACTCACACACTTCACTACTATGGACAATAACTGGGAGTCTGAATATGAAAGCCTAAACCCCCTGCAAGGGTATGTGACATTTTGTAAGGTTCTTTCCAAGAGTGTCTGGAACGCTGACTGGAAAGTGGAGAGAAACGGGTTTGTTGAGATGGGACATGTGTATTCTGTCATGCTGATGAAGGCAAAACAGCTTGAGGTGATCGGTTTTGAAAAACCGAACCAAAAGAAAAATAATTCACTTCTACCAGCGAATCGGGTTTGGCGGGAGTCAGAAGAATGATGATGATGACTGATAATAAAAGGACTCAGAGGGAGAAGAGACAGATTTCAATAACATACCAAGGCTTGCATTGTACCAGATCTCTAAACGTTGAAACGTATAAGGACTGATCCCAGATTTTTCCTTATGTGCCTTTTAAACAGGTTGAATGTTGTTTTAGGGCTAAAGATGTAATGATAACCTCTATCATCAGCTGGGATATGGGGAGCCACTTATGATCACTTTTCTGTGGAGAAGCTGTTTCAAAATCATCACTTTGATTTAGATAATGACATAAAATAAGGTCTACAAGATCCAACTGGTCTTACAGCATCTTCCGGATATCTTTAGGTTGCCATTTTCTTTTTTCATATGGCTTCAGTAAGCAGAGCTGAGGAAGATGTAGACCTGGCTGGGTGTTTTACTGTTTTACAAACAGCCCTTTTGGGACACACAATATGTCCTTTTTAACAGTGTGTAACAATGTTTCAGATTTTTTTTAAAAAGGTAGAACTTTGAGTGGTCAAACTCTCCCAAACGGCGTCAGTAGTGTTCTAATATTGTTTCAACTGCCATCAACTCCATCAACTTCCACAAACACCTTTATTCCTTTATATAGGAGGAAAATACAACAACCTCTCAAATTCAACCTCTTTTTTTATTTATTTAACCATCTGTTAGATTTAATCATCAAAAAAAGCACACTGTTAAATTAAAAAAAGCAAACCCACTGAGTATTCAAAGAGCACTATTTGTGGTTAGGACGCAGCAAAGTTTTATAGATGACCATTTCAGTTACTTGTATTGTTATTATAGTTATTGATATTGCTCGGTTGACATCTTTTTTTCATCTTTGGTGAGGCAAAAGCTCCAAAACAGCGCTTACTAATCGACAAACTCTTAATTTTCTGACCATTTTGTATAGTTTCAAACACAACATTCCAGATCTTTCTGTATAAAGCTTTGTGTAGAGAGCTAAACAAAGCAGGCCATTATCTGTGTTGTCGAACAAGACAATCCTAAATGTTCTGTAACTGTAAATGACACCATTAACTCCGATGATGCAGCAGGATACTGTGTCCATCTATTTATGGATTAATCAACAAAAAGCCTTCCCAGTAAACTCCTTAACTGTAAATAATACTCGTTTCCCAGCTGAATCGAGGCGTGCAACAGCCACGGACACAAAGGCAAAACCCGCACACACTCGGACACAGGTTACCTGGGCGGCCCTGGAACAGGTGTCCCTCTCCCGCGGGCGGCTGACTTGCCCCTGACCGACGGCACCTTGGCCTCCTCCGAGCCGCCGTTCAGGTAGGTGAGCTCCTGCAGCTGGGCCTGTCGGATCTCATCATTGTAATCCTGCACACAGAGCGGCGTCATGTTCACACACACACACACACACACACACTCTCACAGCAAAAGACTCGCTTTCAATTACGCTGTATTAAATTACGCCCTTTATCTCCAGGGCTACAGCCCCGGGAATATCTAATTAATGTACTTTACTGTAGTGCCGTGACCACCGTTCCTGAAGCAGCAAAACATTCCCGATCTCCCGCTGATAAATCCTCCTGACCCCATTTGCCTCCATCTCCTCACACGGTTATTTCATCCATCTATTTTTTTATTTTACCCCAACTTAAAACACACACTTAATATGGAGATAGGTCTTTAATCCTACACTGTCTGATATGATTGTCATGTGAGGTCTCTATCAACGAATGCCAATCGAGTAGCAGTGATATGGAACTGAGGTTGGAAGGGGTCGGCACATAATTAGCAAGGAGATGCAAATTGTTATGGCCCTGAGCACTGGGTAAATAAGCTGCATGCAGCATGAGAGCTTCCCTCCTGCTCTCCTTTAATCCTCTTGTATCCACGCTCCACTCAGACCCTCCAGTGGCTCCGAGGAGGAGCGCCGTTGGGGCCGAAGAGCAGCGGAAAGGAGACGGGATGGGGGTGGGGGGAGGAAATGTGGGTGTGTGCCCGTAAGCGTGAGGGGGAAAGTACCGGGATGAGGAACTTCTTGATCTCCTCCAAAGCGTGGCCCATCCTGGCGTAGGCCTCGGCCGGCGGGGCGAACACCTCGATCAGGACGTGCAGGTCTTCGTTCAGGTGGTGATATTTGGTCTCGCCGCTCTGCCGGAGCTCTTCTTCCTGATTACAGTGATTAAGAAATTCATTTTCTTCTTAAAAAATTGTTTTATAGCAAAGACTGACACACACAAACGTGTGTGTGTGTATATATATATATATATGTGTGTGTGTGTATATATATATATATGTGTGTGTGTATATATATATACATACACACACACATATATACACACACACACACATATGACCAACAGGTGTTTTTGATCACATGATGGTGCAATTGATATTCCGATTACATTTAGTTTGAATTACAAATGGTGTAACAGATGGGACGATTCCTGACTGTGGAAGTGGAAGTCTCCAGGTGAAAACTTAATTTCCATGTGGACGGGCTTCAGTGAACATTGGCCTATCCTATGATCAGCCTAGGGGCAGCATGTTAAAATGCAGTTAAGTAAAGAAGGTATGCACCGCTCTCACTGTTTTAACATGCACCCAATTCCATTCAAAGCATTCATCAGGGCTGCTGGATTTAGAGTTCAACAAGTGAGAGTTTTGAGCCTTAATTCAAGGCTGGAGTTCTTGACTAGAATAGTTTTGGACTATTAGTAAAATTTGTTGTTTCTTCAGTACTTCAAAGTCTTAATACTTGAACATGGATTTAATGTTCAATGGGTGTTTGTCTCTGATCAAAAGTCATTGATAACCGGAACAGGTTTGCAAATTTTATTCCTGCAACTATAAATGTTTTGGCGACGCACTTCTCTCCACTTTTATCTGGTGAATTGTAAAAGTGGGTAAGTGTCTGACATGAAATAGCACGGATCAGGACTATAAAAAGCGGGTTAGGAGTTTCACTTAATTTATGTTTTGGCCTTTTTGGTGCTAACTTTGAATTCTAAATGTGGCCTACTATTCATTGTATGCTCCTTTGATGGTACAATATGCATGGACTAGCAGGTAGTTTAAACACAGACTCAAACTCAGAACCAACAAGAACATTGCCACTGCTAAAAAAACAAACAAGGAAGCTTGTTGAAAATATCTTACAACAATGAAATATGAATACCAGCTCACGGAAACTATTTACTGGCTATACATATATTGTCCCTTAATGAAATATTGACATTGTGCCTCAAAATTCAGCGTTTAAGAACACAGTAGAAGCAGAGCTCAGCCATCAAATGGTTCCTGTTGAGACTTTAGAATCATCAATCTTTTGAAGATGAGCGAGTCGCGTTTCCAGCTCAACCCCTTTCACTTTGCTGTGTTTTCACTTGGGCATTATCTGTTTACTTTTCTCTCGGACCCTTGAAAGCGGAGCATTCTGCGCCCCCACCTGCCGGAGTTGGGGGGCCTTCATCGTGGACCCTCACGGGGGCCGCTCCCACTCACTAGAAGGAGGCCACCATAATGGTTATCAATGGCAAAAAATAGGACAGCAAAAGCCCCAAACGTCTGCCGCCACATCACACAGCGGAAACAACAGGTTTTTGTCGTCCCAGTTTCTCCTTTTCAGTAAAAAAAAAAAAAAAAAAACTGGGGGGGAAAGTCTTCTCGAGGGCATTTCCAGCGGCACTAACTTCCTCTCCCCCCTTCTCCCTCTCTAGCCCCGTGCACACCCGTCTCTGATGTCGCCTAATTATAAATAACCTTCTTTTAAGAGTGCCTGTGGTATGTTAATGGTATGTTAATTTCTCCCATAAATCTGTGCTTCACGAGCGGAGGGCTGCTCTGTGCATGGCGGCGGAGGGTGTCGCAGACACCTCACTCCTAGATCTGTCTCTCCTCTTTCCCTTTCATGTGCTCACTGGCATATTAGCATGGAAAACAATCATGATTAGGTCATTAATAAAAAAAAGAATCAAAAAGCAAACACGCCCAGTGTAACAAAAGTGTTAAAGTGTAACCTGAGGATTTCTAATTTAAGAGCAGATTTCTAATCATTTCCCGTCAAATTCTGTCACGGTGTCAGAAAAGAAAAGCCATTGGTTGGCGTACATGTGAGCACATCCTTTGCATGTGGTGCTGCAGCTGGTCTAATACCCGAGGCGCTGATAAGAAGCATCCCTGATCCAGTGGAGTCCTGTAGCCCTAAGCAGCCCGCGGCGGGAGATTACAGCTGTCTGTTTCTCATATCCACCGCCGCCATCTCCCCTCTGTTTACTTATTTTCTCTTTGTAAATCTGCCCGCGAAAGGCCGCTCACCTTGGAAACGGGACGGCGGAGCACAGCTCTGGACGTGGCAGTCAGAGCTCCGAGGTAAAAGGGGAAGAAGAAAAAGGAGAAGAAAAAAAAAGATGGAGGACCTTTGAGCATTCCACTGAAATTCGCAGCCAGATTGGAATATTTAAATAGGGACTCTGTGAGAACTCTGAGCTCCGTGACAGATGCACTGCACAGCTCTATTAGCAGAAGCGGGTTCTAAACACACTGCCTTCCTTCACACACACACTCCAGTGTGTATGATGAAATACACTTCAACGAACAGTTCACTGAACTCTGCTCTCCAATCACCGCTATCTATTCTGATGCAATCACACTAAGTTACTGTCCAGTTTGGACTGTGATATTGGCTTTTTTTTTTTACTAACTCTTGTGTATTAAGCATTAAGTCTCTGTCACTGTGATTATTATTCAATGGTCCAGTGGGCAAGACGCAGCGCCGTGTGAAGATTGTGTTAAATATGTCCCTTCCGGGCTACGGTTGCAATACTGTTGGCAAACTTGGTGAATGTTCTCTTTGTCTGCCTCTCCACTTATGTTCACTCCGGTCCTTTTTACAGAGCACTTCTTAGAAAATCTTAGCACGCCATAAGGCCGTCCGGATTGGGCATCGTGGCAAGTTCATCTTTAAATAAAACGCACACCTTTATTGTGTGTCAGTTCAACATAATAAACTGAACTGGAAAGTGCTAACCAGTGATCCCAGCTAAGAACATGGCCCACACTGGCCTAATTATTTGTATAATAACAACTGAGCTGTATAAATTAAAGACAATTATTTCATTTAGTGGCTTAAAAATCAATAACAATACTATCTAATCGTATGTGTGCACTGAATCCTTATACGATTAGAGAGAACTGGACCAGTGGAGGATAAAAGACAGACAGTGGTGGAATAATAAAGTATCTATATGTACAGTTTCTGATACACATTGTACAGGTTTGAGGAGATGCTGTAGATCTGGAAAAATTCTGCCCACATAATCTTCTGACAGAAAATGGAAGGAAAAAGCAGCCTACATCGAAAGAAGAGCTTTGGAATGTCCCCCAAGAAGCCTGGAGAGCTGTTACTGAAGCCCACTTACAGAAAGGACAGGGGGGTTCGGGCGTGCTCATGCTCAGAGAACAGAACTCTGCTTTTGTCTTACAAACTGCACTTTCATCTTCTGCTTGCACGTTTGCTAGTGAACCTCTGCAGACATTTCCCCTTTCCCCCTGCCTGGCCCGGGGCTGGAACACGGGGCTGCCTGGTTGAGGATCACCAGCCGAGGAACCCAAGTGGGATTTTGCATTAGCTGTAAAAAAGTGGTTGAACAACAACGGGCCGGAGATTCAGACGAATCGGATCCAAACCCGGCTCGCGACTCACCCGAAAGTGAACCAAAGTGCCGTGTGATCGTTTCATCTCCCCGGGAAGTTAAAGAGCGAGTGCTGCTTGGAGGAGGGAAACGGCAGAGTTAATCATGCTGCTAACGAGAGAGGGGCCACACAACACAGATGACACCGTTTGATGATCTTCTGATGGCGGTAGGACTGCCGAGGCGCCGTTAGCACAGGCGGGGAGACTCCGGCAGCCTGGGGCCTCTCCACCTCTGAGCACTCGCATTCTAGTCAGAGGGAGATGAAGGCCGATGTTTGGGCAATTAAATCAGCTCTTGCGGTGCTTTTGCAACACTACGTACGAAACGGCCTGGTTTCGCCCTCTAAGAACAAAACCTGCAATTCTGTGTCTACGGAATGTGAAAACTGTAACTCAGCCTTCTGTACCGTCACAGAGGGGCGGAGGGCTCCATTTATCGATACACAACTAAAAGTCTGTGAAGGCAACAGTGCCTCGCTCAGTGCCGCCGTGTGTTTTAACCCGTATTGTAAAAAAAAAAAAAAAAAAAAAAGCCCCCGCCCCCCTTTTTTTTGCGCCGCATTGACCCAGTTCTTAACTTAACTAGAAACGCTGTCCGCGGACATCCACAAGGACAAACGCAGTGGAGCTGAAAACTGATCAGTCAGCAAGCGGCTCGGCATCAAGCAGAGTGCAACCCCCCCCAAGAAAAAAGAGAGAGAGAAAGCAGCTCTGCCCAAAGCATCCCTGGCTGGAATTGTCTGTCTTTTTCTACAGGTACAGGACCACCAAAGGCTGATCACAGAATCACCTCGGAAAAACAGAGCAGTTTGAGGATCACAGGTCGATTGATTCCCAGTTGAACAGCTCGGCGTGCGATCAGAACCAATAATATCCCCTCTTTGAGCGCTGACATGATTGTGGATGATAGAGGTCTTTTTAGCAGATTTTTTAGCTCATAAATCCAGTCCAGTTTAAAAAAACAACAAATTAGGTCCTCTTTCATTTCTGAACAACTAAATATAACCTTCTTTTTTTAATCAAATCAAAGTGAGGTGTGTTTTAACTTTCTTTACTTTGTTTTTTTCTGTCCAAAGGATATCAACAGAGAAGATTCTTCCCCTAAATAGTTCCAAAATATGAATAATCTTTCTCTCGGTAGAATGAATACAACCATTGTTTTAACAGCCTTACAATCCTTCTTAGATTGATAGGCAGTTACTATTCAAACTTCACTGCTTAGGTTTGTAGTTTTGGCACAGTAAATTGCAACAGTGTTCATCAGAGCCTGTACCTACGTAATTAAAATGTCTGGAAAGGATGTGGATATCATAATCGTTCCAATACCCTGACAGAAACAAAAGAGTACTTTACTGTTCACGTGAAGGCACGATTTCCTCACAAATCCCCGTCTGTGGCTCACCGTGTTGGCCCTGACAGAGCAAAGGCTTTGACGGATGTCAGGCATGTTCGGAGATCCCCAGGATCACTCTCATTTCCATAAACTTTTGAAATTTGTTTAAAAGCTGCAACTGCTTTAGCAGGAGTTTTTTTTCTTCTTTTTTTCCATCCCAGGGGCTGTCAATCAAACGCAGTCTGGGGCTCTGACGTGAACGGAGACAGGCAGATAAAAGGAGGACTTTCTTTTTTTTTTAATCGGCTTCCTAAAGTAATAATGAACAGCACATAAAAAAGACTTTAATGATAGGGGAGATTAAGAAGTAAGTCTTCTCATTTTCTTGTGAAGTGAAACTTAATTAGGATCATTTTTAATGCGTTGGAGATATAACGTGAATTATAATCAACCAATTTGTTCTATGTTGAAAACATTCCCAACAAACTCTCACTTGTTTCAGGTTTGATTCCCAACAAGAATTTTGTCAGGACTTAGCACTGTCTACCCCCACAGTGTAACTATGAGGAGTACTGACAGGCTTACGCATAAAAACATAAAAGAATCTCACCTTGGAACCTTGTTAAAGTGCAGCAGAGCAACATGAGATGAGGCGTGCAGGTAAAAAAAAGAAAGCTTGATCTGAAAGGGAATTTATCAGACGGCACAGTTACCTTCTCTTTGTCTCTCATGGAGCCTTTTCCAAGGATCGACATCTTTGTGAGGGTGTCCTCTTGTAGTCTCTTTAGCGAGTTCCCGCGCGGCCCCAGGAGTTTACCCACAAAGTTAAACTGAAAGAAAGAGAGAGACAGCTAATCAGTCAGACTCTGGGTGTGTGTGTCCCTGGTAAATACAGACTTTTTCCTCTTGTTTGGCCAGGCGACTGTTAATGCTTTCCCCAATGTTGCCTCATTTGGAGTGTGGTGTCACTCTGCCATTGGTGGCAACTTCTGGCTGGAGGAGAACGCGTTTTGAGTTTCATGATGATGATTGTGACAGCAGTGGTTTTGTTCGAAACTAAACAAATTCAGCACATCTTATACTTAACTTCTGTTTTTCGGTTATAAACTCTACATAAAACTTTGGATAACAAATCGCTTCAAGGGGGATTGAAGCACTTCTTCCAGCAGTCTCTGTAATAGCAAAGCCTGGGTTTTACCTGAAAAGTGAGAAAAAAAGCCTGGAGACAACCCATAAAACAGAGAGGACATACCATTTCCACTGTTCTAGGACAGTAAAACACACTGAAATTGAAACCAAGTCAGAGCCCGCTACCCATTTCTTTCCCTTTTCATTTCAAGCCGCTCAAGTGTACGTGCGCAGCATTTGAGTCCGTCTCCCCCTCAGGCTGAGTAAGTTATGTTGCTGCCCACAAGGGTTTGGGAAATGGGTGTTACTTTTTGTGAACATGTCACCTATTCATTTACAGAGAGAAAAGAAGGATTGTTTGTATGACAAAATGTCTGTATTATCATAGTTTTGAGCAGTGAGTCTTCATCGGCTCCTCGTCGCTTTACATTTTGCAAGACCTTCTCGTGATCCACATACCACTGAAAGATGAATCATTCAGGCAGAAAAAAATGCACTTGACTCGAGAAAGATCTAGTGTTCTGCCAACAAATAACAGGCATCTGAAGAAAAAACATGCTAGTTTGATAATAAATGAATTAATTAATGTTGGTTCAAGACTTTTTCTCTGATCTGAAAGAAAACCACAAAGAGCCCATGAGCTCTAATAAGTATATTCATAACCTTAAGCCAGTCCGGGGGGATCTGATGACACGTAAGACCCCACAACCAAGAAGGTCCAACGGCCACCAAAGAATACTAATAATACAATACTAAAAACATCCATGTATCAGAAACTCTTCTGATCTTCTTTGTCCATCTTGTAACTGGTCAGGGCTCTTTAGTCACCGTGAATAGTTCTCAATATTAGGCAAGAGGATCACAATGTGACAGTTAAAGCTACTAAACAACACACAACTTACTCAACTTGTGGTGTCTAATCATATTCAGAGTCCTGCTGTATAATCTTAGCCAGACTTGAGATCTCATGATTAGAGAAGCGATGGAAAAGAAACACAGATCTTACCAACAGCTTATCCGGCACAATTTTATTTTTTAAATGTTGACAGACTGAAAGGAGGCATTTGCCTCTTGTACTGATGACACTCAGAAATCATATCAATGTGGTAGTTTCTTAAAAAGTTAGAGCTCCAATTGTTCCCTGGTATGATAAATGCCTTCAAATTGGCTACAGGTTAAACCTTAATGTCTGTTTGGAGTTTTCAAACAACAATTCTTTACACAAAGTGAGCAAAATGTATCCATGGGAGATGCTAACAATTTGAAATGAAACCAGACTGCATGGAAAATAATAACAATGCACAAACTGAGACTACATGCAAACCCAAGAACGAAAGGCTCTGGCCAAGATTCGAACTGGCAACCATACTGGGATGCCCGCCTACCTGCCGGTATCTTGAATTAATAAATGATACCATTACACACTCTGATTTAAGATTTTTTCTTTACCATTTAAAATTAAACAATGAACAACAGGAGAAAATCTTTTTCTGTACCTTACAGGGAATGTTTCTGATACCTTTGGGTACAGAAATGAACCGCCTTTCTTGTTGTAAACCGTAAGACTTCATCATGATCATCACCATTTGTGAAATATCTCCCTCTGAATAAAAACTTGAAAGTGTTGAAAGAATCCAATTGAGATCATTATCATAACTTTCTTGCATGTTAAGACCTCGATCTTGAACTCCTTTGGCTCATCGCCTTTAATCAAAGGCCTCCTGGCTTGGATCACAAGGTTGCTGCTTTGTAGCCGCAAAAGCACAAAAGCTAAGCATTCCATTATTATGTTCAGGTCTGACGTGCGAAGACACCGGCCAAAGGCGTACAACCTTAAAACTAAAAAACACAATTGCACCAGCGGCTGGAGATGGTCAGGGAAAGAAAAGTTAAGGGATGCCCCCAATCACCCCCCCTCCATGGCTTCCTATAGCAGTGAGTTATTCAGCTGTCTTCTTCCTCTATCCAGGTCATCAATTAGTGAGCAGGAGGTGGTGGTGGGGGGGGGAGACCTGTTTTGTTCTGCCCCTCTCCCATCTCTTCTGCCTTTTGTTCAGAGAGCGAGTGCTTATTAGGAAACTCTGTCCAATTCCTGGGTGAGGGATTTGAGAAGCGAGCTTCAGTGATTGGCTCTAATGCAGTAACTGACTGCTGTTGCTGTTTCTCTCTCATCCTGGCCAGCGTGAGCTCCTGTATTTCTCACCTGCTCTCCGCTCCTTAAATGCTCCTGTTTCAAATGTGATCATTCAGAGTTACCGTTGATCTCCTGGTTTGTAATGATCCCCAAACTGATGAATTTGTGGATTATGATCCACCACTTTCGTCCTTCGTCAATCGACGTCAACATTTCCTTTCAGCTTGTGCAAACTGCACACTAATTTCATACATATTGAATGATTGCTGCGTCAGGAAACAAAACGTGCCCTCCGGCTAATGGATTCCAGTTTGCTTAAGGATCATCAAAGGAGGCAAGCAGCCTCCGAGCAAACAGAGTGTCTCCTGAAATGTGCTGAGTTTCAGCCACGTCCCACACATCCATCATTTCCACCTGGACGCCGCCTTGATTGCTGAGCTGAACCATCCCCTCCAACAATGATCTGCAGAGCTAGATCACACAGCCTGCATCTCTCTGCTTCTGTCCTTCTGACAGCTTGAGCTTAAGACACGGTGTCCGGGATGTTTGGAACGATATCTCGCTCTACTGACTCCCAACTGCGAGCTCGCCGATGGGTAAAAACACTTGAACAAGCATAGGGGCCTGTATCACTGATTCACTGAAGTTTCACTGGCTAAGTTTCTCCATATAAAGAATACCATAAAAAAAAGACAGAAATAACAGGGCTCAATCAAAACGGAACACATGAAGTGAATTCACAACATTTGGAAAATTAGAAGGCAACCTTAAACAGAAACTGAATCTCCCGAAATGTCTAACCAGTCTTTGTTTGGGGATTCCGGCACTGAAGGGAATTTTACACAACATTCCAATACGAATAACTAAATTAACGGCATACAATATTTCTAGAAACAATGTTCATTAGCTTAAAAAAAAACAAATGAACATGCTTAACTTTTAAACTATGCTTGTAAATGTCCATTTAGGTTTGAGTATAGAGTGAGTACATTGTAGACTCCCTTTATAGGTCCCATTGATTTGCAGAATGATATATATATACAGTATATGCATTTAGGCAGAGTCAGATTCCCATGCACCTCATGTGGAATAAGAGTAACTAGAGGTTAAATATCTTAAAACCGATATTTGACGTCTAATAAAGGTTCCATAAGCTCAAAGTTCTGCTCATATGTGGCTGGCAAAGCTAATTAGCTAACTGACTAAATTAAATCAATAGCACTATAACTTAAATTAGTATTCCAAAAAAAAAGGACTATCTGTACGACTCTAACAAGAAAAATGTCAAATATGCGTCTTAAATTTTTACAGTTATTTCTGCCACACAGATTTCAGTTTATTGATATTTTATTTAAAGTATTACTGAGCATGCTATCCAGTGGAGTGTTACAGGTACTTAACACTGTCAGTGGGCTGCTAATTTTGTAGAAATGCGGGTGGTGTAATGACAATCGTTCCGAAAGTTGCCTTTAAACCATTTGTCATGAAGTTGAAAAGGTGGGACAAATTTACAGTTTTAACTCAAAAGCTATAACGAAGCAATTACCACCTGCTTTACAGCTCGTGTTGGCATTGTAAACAGGAAGATGATCTTAATTTCTTCATTGTCTTCCCCATTTAGAATTAAATACGTGTTATATTCGTATTCCACCCGGCCAATTGAGCACCCCAGATCTTTAAAGACGATTGAAAGCTAAACTAATAAAAAAAAAGAAAAGAAAAAAGTCAAAGTCAGCCAACAACTGTTTTGTGCTGTTGCCAGTTGGTCATTCATTAAACCATTTAACAGTAAAATTGATCGGAATGCTTGGATTTTCAAGCCTTTTCAGTTCCTACGGCTAACTATGCTAAAGGAGCCTTTATTGCCATTGAATTAGTTTTCATATTTCAGCACACAGACGTCAGGAAATAGCAGTTCAAGGGTAACAGACGAGCCCCCCCCAGACTGCAGCAGGTCTGCCATGGCAACAACATACCCTAACACTGCCGGGGTTTTATCCAATATTTACCGACGTGATGTAACGGTCTTAGCTTGGAGCTATTTTCAGTTCCAGACTATTTAAAAAGAGATAATGCAGATTTGTCTCATATTTGTTTGATTAATGCAAGCAAATGTCAGAGAGAAGTCTTAATCTGAACATTTAAACACATCCCCAGCCAGTCCACACACACACACACACACACACACACACACACACACACACACACACACACACACACACACATCTGCTTTATGTGTACAATCCTCCAAATATATGAGTCTTTCTGGACAAATAACTGTAATCCCTGCTGTTTATCAGCTATCAAAATCAACTGTGATTGATGCGTTGGGTATTGCGAAGGCTTTGGGCCTCGTGGGGGATTATGTGGCAGACAAAAACCTCTCTGGAATTCTGCATGCGTTCGTATCGTTGGATGCATTGCAGCGCTGTTTTCTTTATCCACAAACACAAAAGTCTGTGTTTTTAATCGCTAACTGTCACCTTTTGCTCTGCTGACTTGTGTGTTACAAGAAAAGGAAGTGGGTAAAAAATGAGATTCCTGCCCGCTCGCACAGCTGAAACACAAATCCCAGCCACAGAATCTTGTGGATCATTAGGGAGACCAGGGACAGAGGAAGTGAGAGGAAGTATGATTAATCACATTTAACGTGAATAAAAGGGGGGGGTACCACATCTGACGTCTTCTCATCGTTTGCTGAATGTATTTCTGCGACTCCGGAGGAAGGTGCGCTCGCAGAGAGCCAAAGCTGAGCAATTGTGCTGAGGACAGCAGGACAGGAGCCACAGCCAAAGGATAAATCACCCCCCCGAGCACAGAGAGAAGCCACAGTCTGAACTGGAAATGAACCAGTGGGACTCCTTAGGCATCCTTAATGGCCTGTGGTGCTCTCAGTCCAAAGATGCACGATAGAAGCTCAGTGGATCCAGGAAATGTACACATGAACTCTTATGGTGCATCTTTGCACAAAAGGAAAGGCTTATTATTATATATATATATATATATATATACAGTATATATAAAACATAATTCTGAAATCTTAGTCTATATGAAGTGCAATGCGCTACATGAACTGCCACTACTACAGTATCATCAGTGTCATCCCTTTTGTGTCATATCTCTGTAAGCAGTCATCAGTAAACAGTCATCAGTCCCAGCTCTGACTCTGTTTCCAGAGGACGGATCTAAGTCCTGGAAAAAAGCTGTGCCACTTCAATGCCAGAAGCCAAAAGGTGATTCCTGCTGCTCAGAAGAAAAACCACTCAAGTCAGGCCGATCACTCTTGCCATCGCTACCTGTCAGACAGAACAAATTGAATTTGTCTTTGTTGGCTGGTTGAGGCTCTAAACAGCGTATTAGTGGCTCTACTTATCAAATCCCTCAGAGCACTCCGGCTGAGCCGGGAGCATAGCTAACTGACGTAGCACACAGTCAATGCTTCCCACGATTATTCTCTATGATTAATTACGGCCATAAGACATGTATTCATGCAATAACAAGAATTCTGCTAAAAGTCCCCACAAACAAAAAGATTGATAAGGTTTTATACTAGCAGGCCGAAACATACACAAAATACATTTCCGCATAAAATAAGGTTCAATGGAGTTCATTCTGATCACTTTTTCTCATAATTGGATTCCTGTAGTTAGCTATATTTAGGTTTTGAAGCATATTACCACAACACAATCATGTAGTATTTAATGAATTCAACAGAGGCAAAGCTTTTTTGTATCAAACCCATTCTATACAAATTAGCCTGCACTGCTCAAGGGTTCCTCAGAAATAAAGCTCAGCATGCTAACGTTGAGCACTTTGGCTCGCTCACTAAGCGCTAGTGGGGAGTATGGGAGTTCTACATACAGTAATCGACAGTTGACTATACAATTTATTATAAAAAGGACTTTTTCAATGTAATCTTTTAATTTCCTCTGTAAATGACATGACTGTTGCCTTATTTAACAAATCTACGCAACAAAGGTATGCATTTTGGGTCACCAAAAAATTATAAATTAAGCCACAAATTCCCACATAAACATATAATGCTATAACACAATGGAATTGGAGAAAGACGAGTTGATGAATCCATTAAAAAATTCTTCAGCGGCCTGCAAAACACGGTAGTCCAACTAAGTAAATCATCTGAGTATATTAGCTAAATCCTTTCAAACGTACACAGGAAAAACTACATTGCATGTACATGTATAACTTGCTTCTTTACTGCTGCTTGTTTTCCCTGATCCGATGCATTGTGGGAGCTGAGCGAGCGTTGATGATGAGCTGCTTTTCCTGCTGCATTTTGAGATTGTTTGAACATGCAATCAATAAAAGGTTCATGAAGCGTCAGGATATACTTAAACAGCAAATACCTGACAACAAAATTGTAGACTCACTATGGAGTCTATTTTTTGGTGAGTAAATAGAATCCTAAACCTTTACCTGCTATATGACAGCAAACAATATTTCCATGAATCATAATCATGTGATTCATGGAACACTTGAATCACAGTTGTCTTCTTGGTGTACTGCTCACTTACACTGACCAATCAAGTTCAGGACCAGCAGTTCAATATTTGCCAAGAATAAGTTTGTAATTAAACATAAAAATCAATTAGCAATTAACATCAATAAAGATGAAAATGCATGCACTATCTTGAAGCTCTGAGCAGTTCTGTTAGTTAAAATTGAGTTTTTTTGTTCCTCTTCCGTCCAAACAAGTTTGAATTTTCAGAGATCCCTCCACATAAAGGGATGTGACATGGCGGGTGTGTAAACTGGATGTTTGTAGCCAGCATGTTAGACCCACACTGGTGTAATTCTATCACAAACATTATTTCGATTCTTCTCTGCTGCACAGAAGTGCCCGTTTCTGGGAAAAACCAGGCTGTTATCTGCTCGGGCCGCGTGCCTCACTCACGTGCACGGTCACCCCCCCCACTGCCCTCTGGAGTGACACAGTGCGGGCCACTGCTGTCCTTTTCCTCCGAGGGCTGGGGTGAGAACTTGAGTAATGGCCCCCGTCTAAGAGCAGCCCTCTCACTTTTACACCAGCCTTCCCATCATGCTCCCAGTGGGAAATCCCTGTCATGCAATGAGCCCCCCCCCCAAAAAAACGGCAGCACTGTCAAAGTCTCCTTGTGGAAGTCGAACTGGAGTGCACTCAAGATGGCCTCCTGTCGTTAATCTGACAATCATGGGCTTTATCCATGTGACAGGGCTGTGCTGCGTTGCGCCGTACGAGCTAACTCTGGTTGCAGCTATTATTTCTTATGAAAAGTAGCTGCCCGCTGCTCCGAAAAGCCCTGGAATCAAATTTGTGTCATTAAAAACTCCTCTGTATCCTTACGGAAATTAAATCTACTGCGAGAATATTCCTTTAAAATCATGGACTGTTTTAATAGATATTCATTAAAAAGGAAAAATCCTCTGAAAGCATGGCTGAACAAGGCCAGTGGAATATAGGCACGTATGTACACGGGCTTGTGAAGAAGTGCAATCAACAGACAGTAAGCAGCATCTCTAACATAGTAGTACCCCAGTTCTGTCAGCCATCCCTCCGCCTGTACACATAATATGATACATCTAATAACATAGGACATCAACCAAAAGTGTCAAGTGGCTGTTGGAAGGAATTCAAATCTGAAAAGTCAGAGCTACTGAAGATGTCTTCATTATCTATAAATAGCTAGATCTAGGATTCTCCATCAGAGCCGTTCACACTCGTGGAAAAGCCTCTGGTGGTGCTTCTGTGTCACTTACTTTAGGAAACTGCTTGACTGGTATCAAAACTTTCTGGCCCAGTTTCATGTTCTTGTTGATGACGACATCGATGAACTTCTCCTCCTCCTTCCCTTCGTCTCTCTGAATTTTTTCGATCTCTGGGGGAACGGAACAGAAGAAGGACAAAGCAAAGCACGTGAGTTGTTTTTGTGGAGAGAGCAACAACGCTTTGAAACAGGTGCAGCCAATAGAAGCAGTCGTCATCGGGGGGGCATTATGGAACCGACATTAGAGAATTGTTTGGGGGCTTTTCTTGAGGCTTGTGGGAATTTTGTAGCTTCCCACAGTCCAAAACGCCTCAGAGAACAATGCTCCTCTACCATATTCAACCACTGATTATGAAAGTCAACTAACAGTGGAGCATTACAGCACTCTAGCTCTCCTCATGTAGGAAGAAAAACCAACGACTCTCTTAAATCCTTTTTATGAACCAACTATTTGTGCTAATTCCAGCAGTTGATCCTTGTACAACATTAATGACCGACTGGATATATTGATATCTGTGACAGGGTTGGGGTAGAAATAACATTTACCCTTTACCAACTTTTTATACATTGATTTGTTTATTCCACAGTGTTCTTTAGTAAAAAATGTATAGTTTGATGGCATCTGATGACAACATTTAAAAAAACTAAAGTTATTATCTTTGTCATCAATTCAGGTTCGTTAAAAGAGATGTAAAGTAATTTAGTTAGATGTAGGTCAGAAATACCATCTGAACAAATTATAACTTAGCTATTCTACTGTCATTAGCAAAAAGAACAAAAAGGAACAAAAAAGCAAAAAAAAACAAGTTGAACAAGTGAGCAACGACAACATTTGGTTGGATAAAAGCTGCTCTCATTCTAACTCTAAGACCATAACTTCTACACGATCAACAAGAGTGTGGAAAATTCAACAGAGAATGAGATGCTAGTCTTTACAACCCCTTCCAGGACTTCCGTGCTATGGCCGTTCACACGAGAACAATTTGTGCATCGCGCAGTTGCAACTCATTGGATCTCAGTAGCATTACTGCAGATTCCAAAGGTTTTGGATTGGTGAGGGCTTTCCCAGGACGCATTCAAGTCCCTGTAAAGATACGATGTCAGGGAAGGTAACTGTTCAATGTAAAACAATAAGAGAAGGACAGAATAGTGTCTAGAAAATACCTGCTGATACTTAAGCTGTTAGGTAGTGTTCTTATACCCTGAAAAACTGTTTCCAGTTAACAATACGACTACGACAGTGCAATGAGTCATGAAAAGAGGCAGCTTTTATCCAACCACATGCTGTCGTTGCTCACTTGTTCACCTTGTATTTATTTGCTTTGTTTTTCTTTTTGCTAATGACAGTAGAACAGCTAAGTTATAATTTGTTCAGATGGTATTTGTGACCTGCATCTAACTATATTACTTTACATCTCTTTTAACGAACCTGAATTGATGAAAAAGATAATAACTTTAGTTTTTTTAAATGTTGTCATCAGATGCCATCAAACTATACATTTTTACAAGAGAATACTGTGGAATAAACAAATCAATGCATAAAAAGTTGGTAAAGGGTAAGTGTTGTTATTTCTCCCCTGTCACAGCTATCAATATATCCAGTTGGTCTGCCGTATGCCTTAACATCTAGAAAATTAGCTTTATTACGATAAAAACTTATTTTCCCCTCAGAATCACAAACCTCTACTTGCTGTAGCTCAATCTGAAAGAGGACTTCTAATTTTGAGCTGATAACACAGTTTTCTCTTGGACAGACGCGGCCATTTGCTTATATAAAAAAAAACCACTAAATGGAAGGACACGAGCTGGCACCCCCAGGCTAGCAAAAATACGGGCTGTCACACTGCCTCCTTTCACAGAGCTAGACTTTGATGTATCGGGAGATGTAACCTTGAACGTTTAATCAGAGGGATAACATCTGTGTTTCAGTGCCAGGAAAATTGTTTTTTTTCTGCAGAGAGAGGAGCCGGGAGGTCCACCACAAAGACTCCAGGCTACAAGCCCGGCAGAAGGGAAGGATGGGGCAAAGGGCAAACTCCGCCACAGATTTATTTCTTCTCTGTGAAACGATTTTCAAATAAGACGGAAAAAACCTGATGCTTCAGCTTTCTGAGGCTGGGTTTTCGGAGGTGGGGCTGTGAATCCTGTGTGAGGGTTAGACTGATGGCAAAACGAGCCCCAGAAAAACCCCCTCACCCGTTCAAACACGTGGAAGCGTTCAGCATTTTTCAATTAGCGGAAGCGGAGCCCACCACAAAGGCAGTGGTGACTTTGAGACAGAGCTCTGCAGCGTTACATCGGGGGAGTGTAATTAAAACCTCTGATACCGGTTTTAAGTAGGAACACAATAAGAAGCAGTGAGATGGAGATATCTTTAAGCCTCGCTTCATCTCATCCCAAGGGGGGCAGAGAGTGCACACTCTGAGCAAAGACAACATTAATATTAATACATCGCCTAGCAACATGTCGAGACGGAGTTTCCTTCCTCCAGCGGGTGTTGTCCTCAAAACACTCCAGCTCTGGTGTGCTGTTGCATTGTGACTAAGATTATAAAGCATGTCCAGTTGGGTTTGTCTCCAGCCGGTACCAGGCTAAATCAATCATGAAAAGAGCAGCTTGAAATAAGCCCGTCCTCGGTAAGTGGAATCAAAGAACCCCAAAGTCAGGGCTGATCTTCCTGAAAGTTGTTCTTTTGGAGAGAGAGAACGCGGCACAGCGAGCTGAGAACCACCTCCAAAGAGACAAAAGAGATTAAACATGGATCTCTGAGACGAGAACAATGCTCCTGCTGTTTCCTTTTTCTTTCCCACCGGCTCCCTCAGATTCCTCAGCTCTGACACCATTTGGCTGTTTGAGAGGCTCAATACGTTCCCTTATTTCATCCGAAGCGTTTGATCCTACATCTAAATGACAAACATCTTTGGAAAGATACTTTTTATGGCTCTGTAATTGGAGAAAGTGTTTAAATGTGATCTCCAATTTAATAACGATGTTGAGATGCGGAGCTAAGTGAGCGATGGGGGGAATTTGGTGGGTAGATGAGGCTTTTAGAGCAACTGTCTGGAAGTTGCTCTGAGAGGGGAATGAACTGAATCGGTACGATGAAATGCCTTGTTTGACTCCGCGTTGCTTGGCCTAAATATAGTTGAAGGTATACCACATAATCAATTGAAAAAGAAAGCAACAATCTGGTCATAACCAGGTCTTAAACATGGTTTATGTGAGGACAATAAAATGTGGAATGCATGTGTCTGTGTAGGTGGTGGTACTCAATAAAAAGCTTTTACAACGTTTAGCAGCAAGTACATGGCGATTTGACAAGTAAATTATTTTCTGTATGGCATTATCTCACAATAGTGAGTCATTTTGTCGCACTCTTTTTAGAATGTTTTTTTTATTCGTTCAAGTTAACAACAGCTCTCTTGAAGGTTAGTGTTAAGTTCTTTGTTTTGTTGCACAGTGGGTTTGTGGCTGTGTCTGGGGTCATTGTCCTGTTGATGACTCATTTACTTTCAGTGATAGATTGGTATACAGATGAGTTTGTGTTCAATGTACAGGTCCCGTGAGTGCAGATCAAGCCCAAATCATCAGCCCTCCACCGCCATGCTCACTACTGGTATGAGGCATTTTGTGATTGTCCTAAACCTAACCCATGTGGCATTAGATAAGTGACACCATTCGCTTCAATCTGTCCTATGATATGAGAGATTTAAAAAAATAAGATTGTTCTTAAATTATTTGAGACTTTAAAGCCAATTAATCAGAATCAAGTTTGAGAAAAGGACCTTCTTTTATGTGTGTCAGTGATTTAGAATCGAGATACAATACCAACACACAAGGAAAACTAGAACAATTACCAACATACATGTGCTGGAATAAAGATAAACTTTAAAAAGCTTACAAACGTTTAAACACATCATCACATTCATTAGTCAAAAAGTTCATGCTGTTTCTGGAAGTTTTTTTCCCCCAGTTAACAGAGGGGTAGACGGTGAGGGGAAAAAAAAAGAACTGTGAAAATACTGCCGGAGAGTATTTAGATTCTTTTTTCTAGTCATATTTAACATTGCACAGATTCAAAGCATATTTACTCTCAGTGAAACCCATCTGCGAGGATGGTGACACCCCTCGACGGGACGCCATCCCAGCTGTCTGCCTTCCTATTAGAAATGGAATCACTTTAAAGCAGCTCTCTTATTAGGCATTTCCATTTAAAATTCATAAGCTATGCAGATTTTGAGGGATTATGCATGACGTTAGCTGCGAGCTGGATACTGGAGATGGGGACAGAAGCAACTGGGTCATTTCATTTGGAGCAGTTAGCTCCAGGAGTAATTTGTAACATTTCATAACACAACACAAAGAGACTGAATACGTAACACACCTGTACACATTTTTTTAACATAGCATGGATTGAACAAATGTTGGGTATGTCCTTTGCAAGTATAAAGGCATGTTCGTAGTTATGTTATCAGTGAATTATATGGACCACAAGGTCATTCTTACTTTATTATAATTCCATTTTTGTACTTGATGTGTTTGAATGCTTTAAACCTGATGATAATCACATTGAACATCTTAACTCCAATTGCAATTTCAGAGCTGCTCTGAATGTTTTAAATTTCTTTACGAATATACAATTACTTTTAGAATGGTAGAATTTATATGTCATGCTCTCTGTTTGATATGTAATTTAATTGTATGATTCCAAACAACATTCTCCAGAAGTTCATCTTCACCTTTGATGGAGGAAAAACTCATTAAGTGATTTAATCCAACTGACTTTGAAAACACCCGCTTATAGCTTGTTATAAAATCAATATTTCCCCCCCAATTTAGGTGGAACTGTGTTATTATGGTTTCAGGAATTCTGGGAATGCTGTCTAAATGTTTTAAGTCCCTGAAAGCGGGCTGCCCTCACACTTTGAAGCTATGCTGTTGTAATAGACATGGATTGTGGTTTGAAATTGTCTTGCTGAATTATGCAAAGTCTTCCTTTTAAAAAGTCACGCCGATGGAGGCATGTTTCTAGAACTTGGATTAACCTTTCAGCATAGATAGCGCCTTTACGGATGTGTAAGTCATCAGTTCCATTGGTACTCTGTTATCCCCTCACTATCACAGATTTAACACCACCCA